AGATCCTAAGTAATAATTGTGCATAAATAAGCAACATTATCTCTAATACAAATATTTTATATTTGAATTTTTATAAATATTATGATTTAGGCTTGTGAATTTCGTCAATCCCCCCAATAATTCGAAAGCATAGTACATACATAGTACAATTAGTCTTAAATCAGCTTGGGGTAAGCTATCGCGGGAACGATTTTCTTGGGGGAAGTAGTCAAGTCAAAATTGAAATTAAATTAAAATAAACAATAATAAAGTATCGGATGGGGCTTAGTCCTAATTTGTGTGGACGTAAACCCAATAAATTCAAGAATTGTAAGCGAAAAAGCCTCAAAGTACTTTTGATTGTTTGTCTGCTGATTAACTACATCTTTACATATAATACGTAGAATCAGTCAAACGTTCTATTACACGATTTTCCTATATATTTTTCACATAATATAGCCCTAACATCACGTTTCAATTTGTTAAGTTTTTAATTTGTCATTATGTACCCAGGAATTGCGTGTCAACAACAGGCAGCTGGAATTTTACTCTGTCCACACGCAGATGATAAAACTTTCATCAACATTTCGGTGAGGTGGCCATTAAGTATCGCACAGTTAATTAAATGCAAAAAACCTTCACAACCATTGAAATAAGTAGCGTGAACTTTAAAAGTGCGTTGACAATCTGTGCGCAACATCAGAACTTTTGTCTGCCCTCCATCATTCCCATCTCGGTCTGTTGCCGCATAAAAATCATTTCGCTTTGGCACCTCACGCAAGACCAGCGGCAACAGCACCAATGAAGCTGATGAAGTGAACTGTAGCGAAGACATTTCAACTCCTGCCAGACCACAAACAAATCTGATAAGTGGCCACAAACTGTGGAAGGTGGAAGTCAATTTACTTAATTGACTTATGGCCGGGGTGAAACTCTGAACTTTCCGTCTGTGCTGACAGAGTCAGTTTCGGTGGCTAAACTTCAATTTGAAACTCGTCATGCAGTCTCAAAGTAAGCACACTGTGCATAACTACTACTATGCTACTAGGCCTTGGATTGCTATTGGGTCATCAAACATACGATGCCTCTATGTATTGGTTCATATCAACAGCTTTGTGTGCAATTGTCAAAGATATTGTAAAATTTAATAATTAATAGGACAGATCTTAAATAAAGATTAAAGAAAGAAAATTAAAAAAAATAACATAACATTTTACATCATAACTAAAAACTGATGTATCGCTTGCTGTTTCAAATAAAAGATGCGCCCCTTTGACTACAAGTACAAGGTAGAAAAGTTGAGTTGAGTTCGTCTTTATTTGCATTTGATTGTTTTGCGGATTTTCGACATTTTCTAATTGGCAGAATTCACTATAGAGCCTGTTCAATTATATGCAGCCTCGCAAGTGACGTGTCAAATTTAATTAGAAAACTTTTAAGCAAGTGCTAAAATATTGCGGCCATTTTTGACGGCCCAATTAATGGCATTCCCGAAAAGTGCGCAACGAAAAGGCGGCAACAATTTTGGCAACTTACCTGCACTAACTATCCAAGACAGACGCGTTGTTTTCATTGCCGTCTTTTCAGAGCAGCGCATAAATTTTATTTGACATGGTTTTTGAAGAGAGAGTAAGGGAGAAAGCCGCATGTGCATACAGTAGCTGCCAGTTAACTTAACACACACACATGTACACACACACACAGTTGCAGTTGACTCTAAGCCATAATTGGTTGCGTCAGTGCATAAGTCACAAGTCATGTGGCCCGCTCTTCAGCTTGCAACAACGTTGCCATAACGACAAACACTCGCAATCACACACACACACACACACACACATAGCGACTTCTTGCATATGTGCGCACGAAAGTATGCTTCGTTTAAATAAGATAAATGCGAGCGCCCACTAATTGAATTGCTGACAAGATTTGCCGCACACACTCAAGTTCAGGTTGGTAACCAGCTTAGACAACAGTCTATCTCTACAACTGCCCCAACCCACTATATATTTCTTCTGCTACGAGTGGCAATGAAATTTTGGTAATTAATATTTTCACTTAAGCGGAAATAAATGTCACACACACACACACCCATGAATACACACAACATCCAACAATATAAGTTTATTTAACTAGCTGGCAAACTTTGCTGCCTTCCAGTTAACTTTTCACTGTTCTGTCTGTAGGCCCACTGTCGACTTGTCAGCGTTTTAAAGTTAAAGTGGCTGCAAGTTTATTGAACCATTAAAAGTTCCTAGCCTTTTGTGACAGTTGCACTCCAACAACATTAATAACCGAGTATACAGGTACACAATAAAAGTTATACTTGTTGCGATCTCTATATGCTGCTGAAGTTTGCGAAGCCTATTTGGGTTAATTATTGTATATGAAAATCGCTAAGTCGTAATAAGCTATCATTTTAGCTAAGAAGAGTACAGTTTTCTGATCATACGTTTTTTGAATTTACAGTCTAAAAAAGAAATTGAAGACTTGGATGGACACTAAGAAGCTGCTACAATATGGAGCTGATCTGGTAGATGTGAATAAACCAAAATTGAAAAACCGAATTTTATTACTACAAATAATTTGATAAAATGTTTTGTGAAAGTCGTTTAGGTTTTATTTCTATAAATTGGATGCTACTATGCGTAATAAATTGGCTACGCTTTCCATAAATTTCAACCTGAAACAGATTTATAGTAATATGTTAAATTAATGTTGTATTGTAAGGTAATCGCCCTTTGGCCGGGCGAAGATCAGAGCCAGAGACGGGGCCACATTCCAAATTATAGCATCGTTCAAGTCTCCTGGAAAATGGGCGGATTGCCCAAAAATGTGCAATTCAAAAAGAACAGACAGACCTTTTTGGGTTAGTTGTGGTAGCAGCGGAGATCTTCCTAGATCTTTCTTTGCAGCCTTTATGTTTCCTCATAAGTAAGGTACTGCCTTACTTTAAGTATACATAAGTTCATTTATGTAAAGATCATTTAATAATTAATCCTACAATCCATCCTCAATAGCCACTTATCGACAGCTGAATCTTATCTCGACAGCTGAATCTTATCTCGACAGCTTCTGTTTTTATTCCACGCTATGGAGTTTCTGAACTGGAAGTGAACAAAATTATTTCACTTATTAAAATCAAGCTGAGACTACATTTATATAAATTATATTTCGCCTTGACTCAGCCAAACCTTGAACTCACATACTAGACGAATGGAAACCCAGCCAACTTGCCCACATACAAAAATCGTTGGTTCTTTTAAGTTTTATTTAGAAAAAAAAGCTACCCCTTAGCTGGAACATGTTTAATACATTTAATTTCTAATATCAAAACCACCGCCGTCATGGCCACGAAACCTTCAAGCACATGCAGTCAGTCATGTTCATTAGTCCGGCCACAGAGAACCGTGCGAGGGTTCTTCTGTGGCTACCATACAAGTCAACTCTACAGCCCCCCTCGTCCCCGCCCTTTCTGCGCTCCCAGCTTGTCTGGCTCATTTTGTGTTTGCATGCCGCTGACTGTGTCTGCAAACGCTCGGCATTCAGCGGAATAAATAAATTAAAAAAGAAGCTGAAATAAAACTGATTTCATTACCTTGATTAGTTGGTCTCTTCAAGCTGCCTGTTTGCATGAGAGAGAGAGAGTGGCCCTGCTGTTTGTTTGTCCGTTTGCTTTCAGCTTTTCGCCTCTTTTTTACACATTTCAAAATCTACCGTTGCGCTTATGATGGCCCTCGCCATTTGGGTTCAATGCAAACATTAACCTCATTAGCATGCAGCATTGAAAGCGATGGACAGGGCAGGTAACTGGGCAGGTAACTGGCAGGACTGACAATCTGCTGCAGTTGCAGCTCCGCTCTTGTAATCTAATGGATTAATTTTAATAGTTTAAGACGCATTGCTTGGTTTCAATTGCGCTGTGTGCAATTGCAGAGCAAACTTGCAAGCACTTTGAAAAATAAATTAATTATATAGCATTAGACTCACGGTTTTTGCGATCTGAGTTTTGTTAAGTTTCAAGGTCCTGTTTAAGATACTATTTCACCTTTTCTCGGACGGAGGAACACGTGCTTAGTTCGGTAATGCCATTGTATAGTAACTAATTGTTAATTATATTATATATTGATATCAACACTATCAAGATTGAAAACAAGTTCAACATTGACATATGAAGAAAAATTTATCCCACTTACAACAATAACAATTACTGAATACGTTTAAGAATCCACACAAAAAAAACTTCCATATTAAAAAATAATATTTTCATATTCAATTCAACGTGTTAAATACAAAATATTCATTACTGATTAAAATATGTTTCAAAACAAATTTAATGTTAAATCAATATGCGCCCACTTCAAGTAGCAGATATTCCTTACTTTTAATATCAGTATTGATCTAAGCTTTTAAATAGCGGAAAATGCAACATTTACAAGTATAATGTCAAAGAAACTTTTTAGTCAATTTTTTGTTCTATAATATTAATATAAATATGCAAATATAATATGCTTTTACAAAATATCTTTATTAAAAACAATTAATACTGTTGTTCGAAGAGTTCGAAGATAATTGAATATTTAAAATGAAAATTTAGTGTGCAACCTTTATATCTACTAAAATTAACTGTGATGAAAAAAATCGTTATGTATGTGTTGTTTTATGAACGTAGAAACACATAAAATAACTTTGTAAGCATCTTCTTTTTATTTATTTCTGTAAGTTACCAAAACAATTGCAGAAACATATTTAATCGAGGATTACTATCAAATTTCGAAATGATCGAAGACTTTTTACAGGCTTCTACGTCGTAAGCAAACATATAAAAATAAAGGATAAGAAAAATGTATTAGTGCAATTCATTTTATATTTCATTTTCTAATGGAACATTTGCATACAAATAACATACACGAATATGATATTTTAAATATTGCAATTAATGCTAAAGAAGTGTAATTACAAATTTGTCATGCTTTTGAACAAAGAAAAGTTAAAATAGTGAATCAAAATCGAGCTTTAAGCAACTAAGCCAGTACCACGGCATTCGTGGAGCTACGTTTTTGCCAATGGCCCACACAGTACTCAACCACAAATGCCAGACTATCAGCAGCATAGCACAACCAGTTCAAGTCGCGGAAACGCAGAGGTTGAAAATCGTTAGTGGGAATTTTAGCATTAATTCGAGATTGCTTAGAATGGTACATTAATTCAATGAAGGATTCCTTCCGCCACTTGTCGAAAAAACCCATGCTTTCACACGTACGTATGTAATCATCTATGGCGGTCTTATAAATGGAGTTCTCTGGTAAAAAGAAGGCGTACGGCAAGCCATTGGCAAAATAAAGTGCGGGCTTTCTACAAAAGACTTTTAAGCCACAGTATTTTTGATAATTATTTAGAGATATCCAAGGACTTGAAAAAATGTCATAAGCATTACTATTATTAAGTGACAGCATTAATTCCATTCTCTTATCGTACGGCATTAAATGCATATTCGTCAGTTTTTTTTTAAAAAGTTTGTGATCAGGTTCTTGTACAAACCTCTCATGAGTAAGTGGGTCCAATATAACAGAAATTTGTGCTGCCTCTAAGTCTTCGAACGTATTTATCGCACTGGACTGGGGAAACATTGTCAGCAAGGTGCTGAGCTTGGCGCTGAAAAAAGTACTGAAGACCAAGCCAAATACACAAATAGTCATAATTACTTGACGCGTGGCCACACCCCCAGAGCTTTGAATTGGCATTCCGAAGCCAAGTAGGCCACAGAACACCCGAAGATTCACGAAAAGACCGCAGCAATCAAATCTGTGTGTGTGATGGCACAGATAATACTCCGCTGTCGATATTAGAGTCTCGATTATTGCAAAGGCTACGTATGCTCCCAGTATGTAGTAAGCCCAATGTTCCTCCAATAACATATTATAGACACCATGAATATTCAGCAGCTGCCTGCAGGGTACGATAACGATCCAGTCTACCACACCAATAACTTCAGATGATTCAATGCCATGCCTTGGCCTTGATATGGCACGAAATTTAACACTTAGCGGTATATCCAGCTCTCCATGACGCGTCATATTTTCTATTATATTTGGGAGAATCACTTTTCCAAACTCCACAGGCTGGGTGTACTTTAGACTTATGTTTCGTCCTTTGGTGAATGCAGTTATAAATTTTCCACTACTTCCACTCAAGCGGTGTTCGCCAGTGCGCCTATCAGTTACAACATAGATACCTGGCATTATCTGATCTGGTAGTGTGCGTGCAGTTATTCCACCATAATTCGACCAGGATTTGTGACAATAGGGACCCACATCCACAATATAAACGGGTTCAAAGCGTGGGAACGGAAATGGCAGAAGCCGATAGACCTTCAATAAGCCAACGGGCGCTGCGCGGCACAGCAAGAGGTTTACAAAATGTAGCTCCCCAATCTTTTTCAAAATATCATTGAAAGCTTCCCCTTCGCTTTCAGCTTGCAGCCAAACAATAATGCGGGTCTCTCGCATGCGATTCAGATTGTAAGCCAACGCGGTCAGTTCCATGGGGTCCAAATAATCTTGCATACAAACCACCGCCAGAAATTCCTGATCGAATAGCATCTGCACCTCAACTCTGCCGTGCTCGTCAAGACGAAGTGCAGTGGCAAATTAATTACAGACACCGATATGTCGTAACGGATTTAAAGTGCATTTTAATCTAAAGTGCATCAAGCAACCTAATTTCCAGTCACTCAGCCGCCCGTCTGATAAAACATATAGAGTTTGATAGAGCCTGTGTGACTTGTAGGACCCAGGGATATGGAATTCAAAACGGTTCGGAAACATACTCGCATAAAAGCATGGGCGAACGATTTACATTAATGTAAGAGATGTATATAGAGCCGATAGCTTAGGGTTAAAGAATAAGTTAAAGGTTTTCTGCAATATCTCGACTCGTTTCTCTAAAAGTTGGCTCGATTTAGTTGGAAACCATTCTCTACATTTCCCATTTGTGGAGGAAGCAACAGAAGTTGCCTGTTGCCCATTTGCATACTATAATTTTAAAGTTGACTCGCATGGAAGCAGCAGAGTACTAACCTTTGGAAAAAGCGGCCCCACAGATGCCAAAAAAATGTCTATCATTCCGTCAGAGCGTGGGCTGTACTGCCGGTGAAATGAATCTTTCACGCTCAATTTATTTGTAATGATGTCGACAACATGTCGGAAACAGACGCAATGGCACTGGCAGTGACGACATCGCAACATTTCTGGCAACTTACAAGCCGCACATAAAACTGACAAGGGCACGGCAGTTACTAGGCAAAAAAAAAAAAAAGAAGAAGAAGTTCTTTTCGGGGAACAACACGCAAAGTGTAGAAGCAACGGCACATTAGCGCCACAAATCCCAATCATAAAGAGCAAACGCAACGGGCCTACAACGCACAACAATTTCGCGAACGCATTTTTCATGTCGAAATCGTGGCAATCGGCATGGCAAATGATGTCCTTTGGGAGTGATGTGATGCTGACTGCCACAAAAAAAAAAGAAAAAAATGAAACGGCAACGTGTACTGAGGATAATGAAATAAACATGTTTATTAGATACCAACTGGGCCACGCTTTGGCCCTAGAGGGCGTGCGCCCGCCCTGCGTATGATTAATATTAAGTGTAGCTGCCAGAAGGACTCCTGTTTTGCACCTGTCCTCTTTGTAATTAATTGAATTATTTTTCTCACGCGGCACTCGGGCGCATTAAAAATTCAAAAGGCATCAAAAATAGCGGAAATGCAATTAAAAATGTGCACTGCCTTTCCATGGGCGTTCAACTATAAGTGTGGCTAAGCGCAAATTACCGACAGCTACTTAGGCGGACCAAAGAGCAGCGCAAAAGCGTTGCATACCGTAGGGCGCACTAGTCTGCAGCCCTCCATTGCACGACTGCTCTATTACGCTTAATTAAGTTTGTTTCTCCACTTCTTTTGCTGCTCGCCAGCAAAGTTTGTACTTCAGTGGCTGGAACTAGGTGCTAAGAGCATTTTTGAAAGAAAGTGAGTGCGGAATGCTTATTAGGCTCAGTCTGTTCTGAATTGTAGGAACTGCAATAAAGACGCTGCAAAGCAGAGAAACAAGAATGAGTGTCCTGATTGTGTTCTTCAAGCTTATGTTTAACTAACATTCATAAAAAATGATCAGAGACAGCTTGTTGCTACTAATATTGTGTGTAGGAATATGCATTCCACTCGAAGAATTTACAGCTACAACACAATTTTCTTTAAGATTTAAAGCTTGTACAAGAGGTATCAGGTGTTCGGAAGAGAATTTTCAGAACTAAGATTAATTACGTAGAAGATGTGACAGATACTTTTTGAAATATTTAATGTGGCAACTTACTGGTAACTCCCTCGCCAATCAAGACCTTTTAAATAAATATTATACTCTTAAAAAAACATTTATGAATATAATTGATTTGAATAAACGCTGTTGATCTCACTCTAAGCATCGAATAGAAAGATAAATATTTAGATAAAACATGTAAACGAAAAGAATCTTCTTAACAATAATAACATATGTATAGTGGTATATACTAGTTCATCTGAATCCAAATTCCAAAAGAATTTTCTAAACGAAAATTCAAATTAAAATGTTAAAATTCAAACATGTTTTATTTTTGAAATATTTATAAAAAAAATTATAAAAATTTAAAATCAAGAAATTAACACTTAGCTTTCATGCTTACCTATCAAATAAAAACAAACAACATAACAATCCTTTAATTCGCATTTTTTTAACGTTTTTAAATGAAAATTTAAACAATTACCGATTAAACATTAATAGTAACTTAAAGATTATGAACTTAGAATTACATACATACAAGTATGTGTGAGTTAAAAAAATATTCCGATTTCCTTACTAAGGTTTATTAACCTATTTTGAGTGATAAGCTGAGCTATTTTATTTTTTTGGACACAGCACAGGAAAGTTTGATATCATACACAATTCCTACGATCAGCCTTTAGCACTCTGATAATATCTCGAAATACTTAAACTTCTAGATACTATATGCACGAATTTCCTCTTTGAAGGTAAATGGTCCACATCTAAAGCAAAATTAAGGTTATGAAGTTAGAAGCAGATAAATTGGTCGACCTTTTATTACTTCAATAGCTTAAATAGTCAAAGAAATTAAATTTTTAGGCAGACAACACATTTTTCACCCCAGTCCTAGGCCTAAGCTTTGTGTTCCTCAGGGTTGGCAACAAGGTCTGCTTCCAAAAAATAAAAATCATCTGTACAATTCATATAACTGGGCTCACGAAAAACCCTACAAATTGCGTGTACTTTTTCCTGCTTCGAATCTGTAGCTTTTTAAAAGTAGGCTGTCAAAAAAAACATTCAGCTGTAATGACAATGCTAAGCGAACCGCGGAGCTATCAACAGTTATCGTTACGAATATATATAAATGCTGTCAGTATAAATGCTAATCTAAAGAAAATAGCTTAAACAACATTCAAGATGCCTACAACAACCAATGCCAATACAATTTGATTGGTTAATTTTTAGCATTCTGGTCATTTAATCGGATATCCGCACCTAAGCCGAAAGTGTCTTAAATGCATAAACCAGCCGCAAAATTGGCTTTACACTTTGTCTGTCGGCCTTTAATCTATAATTTGTACGATGCAAATGCCGTAAAATCATTTAATTAAAATCCAACGTACGAAAAATTCGATATAAATTCAAATTTCACAATTTCTCACCCATTCCCGACTCCACACTCAGGCAATATCGAATGCGCTTCCAAAAGTCAATTTCTTGTAAAGCACAAACACAAATGCACACTTACACTCACACTCACACGCATGCCTGCACATAAACATAACCATGAGAAATGCTTTGCTATAATAACATACGTGACCATATTTACAAATGCCAAATCAAAATCCAAGCAATGAGAGCTCTTGAGGGGAAGGGGGGCCATTGTCTTGCCAGCCTTGGCTGTGCATGTGAAATGAATTTAATGTTCGGCTCGACAACGTGTCGATGCTGCGTGTATATGTTTTTATGTGCTGGGCTTGGCAAGCTTGGAAATTTGTTAACATTTATGCATTATCATATCAGGCTTTGACATTTAAGCTCCTGCCTGGCAACAAATATGTATGTGCGTGTATTTGTCTTCTGTTTTTGCCGTTAATGAAACGCCTATCAACATTTTTGGTATGTTTATGTCTAGACTGAAGCGCATTTTATATCTGGCGCATAATAACATGCCATCTAAGTGGTGCATCGTATATTTCTAAATATAAAATAGTGTATATGGTATATGCAGTCAACAGGTTTTGCAAGAATCATTTTCATCAAACATTCGTTTCATATCCAAACACAAAATGTAATTTAATTGAAAGCCACTCGAATACGTGTAACAACATTTTTGTAGCACAAATTAGTTTAAAAAGCAGTCACATGTATAGCATATACTATATTTATAAGCATGTTGGCGCGTGTTTTATATTAATTAAAATGCATATAATTTGACAAATAAAATACACGAAAATTGCATTAGTGTGATAAACCAAATTAAAAACAAAGTTCGCTGTCATTTAAATGTTTGAAAATGTAGCTATACTTGTATGTTTATTTATAATATAAGTACGAGGGCAGTCCACCCGGGCCACTCCCTTCTATAGTACATATGTACATATATTAATAAAACTTGGGTATTGCGAGTTTCTCCGCCATATCCGTATTATTATTAATATAAAATATTATGTTCATAACTGTCACTCTATAAATATTTTGGACAACATTACAATCATGTGTTGTATATCTATATATCCATATTAGATGGTTATAGGTGCTTTGTCCACTGAATCTTTACAAGATGGAATGCCTACAGTGAATTTTAGCATTTACGCGTATACCAACTTTATCAGACTTATCAGATCGAGAATGATTCGACTGGGGTATATCAGGTCTTCGTCATTTTATATTATCACCATTCCCACTATGCTTTTAAATTCCAACCAAATTATGATCCGATCTGCCGAAGAAGCCGACTTTATTTATCCAGCTACACTGAACATACCTTTAAGCAGGCTTCGATGAATTTGAATGAAAAATGATTGTACACATATGTTGATATGTAAAGTATATGTATGCCTTCGTAAATAAAGTATTGTCAAAAACAATTGTTTTTAAGCAACGCTCGTAAACTTGGACAGTGGTGAGTATTACTTGTAAATACTCACTTAAAAGTGCACTTAAAACAATGTCAATCGATGTTTCCTATTGGTATGGTATGGTAAATTGTTGTGGGAATGTATTATAAATTAATATTTTAATTTATCAGAAGGTTCACGGAAAGGGCTACATATTATATTCTAAGCTGTTCAGATTTTGCCACACGAGTAAGGTCAAATCGGTGGACCGCCATTAGCAGTTCCACGCCGACCGAATGGATCCTTAGAAATGGCGCAGGCAGGGCGGTCAGGGGGTTGGGGCATTGCCCCCTCCCCCTTACAAAAACATTCGCAATATGAAGTCGACCAAACATTCATTATGATGGCTCACTATTTCGCCTTAAAATGAAACCAAGTTGGAGTTGTTGATATATGCCTAAGTTATTATTTTAACGCATCGTGCATTAGTAATCAAAATTACATTTTTTTGCAAAGTAACATATGTAGTATTCCATCGTATCTATCCGGTTCCTATCCATTCAATCACTAATTAAACAGTTTTCTCAATGCCCACCTACTCAGATGGCATTAGCTCAGCTCTATACATGGGAAATATACTATACATATAAACCATTATTCATCATTCATAAGTAATTCCACTCCACAATATTTGAAATAATCAATCATTCTCAGTGCAAACGATGATATTTCCCTCAAATCAATTAAAATTAGTTTATTTAATAAGGGTATGGAATTTTATTATAGAATACAATTATAGTCGATTTGAAATTTTCAGTTAAAGCTGAAGAGGAATAATAATAATTTTACCTACAAATATGTAAGACAAGACTACTTTTGAATAGATTATATATTCGCTGTAAAAGGAAGGGCTCAATAGGAGTAAAGTAAAAACAATAGTCGCGGACCGCCGTGCGTCTGTTCGCTTTAGAGTTTTATTGGAGACTGGCACTTTTGCTATACATATTCTTTATGCTTACATTCGTATGCAACAGTGACAGATAACTTGTAGATAACATAAGATTATTATCTGCTTATATTAACATGCGTGCATTGGTACTTATGTTTGTATTGATTTTCAACAACTACAAGCCCAGATATGCATCCACAGCGCTTATAGTTCAAAAGATGTCGGCGTTCATACAGACAAACAAATCGAGACGGCTATATGAATCTTGTTCTGCTGATCATATACACTACGCGCTACTTTACATCTGCCAATGCTAATATCTTAATCAATGCTATGCAGGTATTGATTTGCTTACAGATTGTTCTTTAGCATAATATTTTGAGCTCTTTAAAATCAATCTTTGTCTTCGGAAATGAATCGATCTGATTTTTGAGAGCGAAGATCAAAGCTAAAGGCGAATTTGTTTGTAATGAGTCTGAATATGAGAAAGACCTGAACGACAGTACGCTGATGCGCACAGATGCCTTTTTTTGAGAAAAACCTTAAACACTTACGATTCAATTGCCGGAAGAAAGGTAAGTTGTGGGAAAACCGCAAGCCACAATCTGGTATGTTGTATGTTTTAAAAGCTGCACATTGAAGGCCACTTATCAATCCCCAAGTTTTGTATAAATATCTGTTTTCCACGCCATTCCATTATACAAGTATTAATGTATGAGTAGTCTGCGTTCTGAATTTTTAGTTTTATAGCAAAGTTTCAACATTCTGATCTAATCGCCCATGCTGTTGTATGACGGTATGTTGCACAAACCAAATGCATGTAATAACTGTAGAAGTGGCCTGCAATAAATAAATTCGTAATAAAGTATGCGGCATGCAACAGAGGCTTGACAGTTGCAGGGGCGGCCTTCAGAATTTCGGAGGGTCACATGGCGTATAATTAACAATAATGAAGTCGTAAAACCGCAATGCAATCAGCGATGCGCAAAATATGCAATCACACACACACACACACCAACACAGACAAGTGGCCAAAAAGCCGAAATGTACACACACACACACACACACACACACATGGCTCAGCTTGAAGTCACGGTCACGTTGGCATTATAAAATATTTATAAACCATTTGCACGCATAATTAGTCTGTCATTAAATGTTCAGATTTTCTCATATGTCCGCGTATGGCTATGTGTGTGTGTGTCCGTGTGTGTGTGTGTGTGTGGTGGCGCTTAAAATGATGTTGGTGTCAATGCCTGCCAGCAGCCCAGCAGCAACACAATAGCAACAATAACAATGAACTCTCCACTTACTTGTGTCCTGCAGATTCTGTTGTTGTTGTTGTCAATATACGCGTGGTATGGCGTTGAAATGTCATGTCATGTCGCGACAGGCGTCGGAGCGTTGTATGTCTGTGTATGTGTGTGTATCTGTGTGTGTTTGTACTTGGTGTGTACACTGAGGGAAATAACCAAGTATGAAAAACACTCAAAAGAACTTCTTTCCAGATATTTTGCATCTCAAAATACATATGTACCTCAAAACATATCGTTCGACCTTACTACCAAAACACAAACTGTTGCAAAAACATGATGTTTATTTCACTACATATCGCCCTTTTAGCTCGATACACCCTACCAAGCGATATTCAATTGCTTTGATACCCTGTTTAAAGTAACAAACGTGGGCTCCTCAGCAATCATGGTTATGAGCCGCAGACTTCAACTAATTGAATAATACGCAGCCTTCCATTTTTCGCAATACTTTTTCTTTGAGTGCATGAGTATATAAATGTGTGTGTGTGTGTGTACTTTGGTGCGTTTGTGTGTGTGCTGTGCGTGTGCGACCATAAAGTAATCAGCGAGAATGTCAATGAGCTGCCACCATTAGCTGATGTGTCTGTGGCTGAGGTTTTACACGACATTCCTGTTCTTGTTGGTGACTCTCTTTTTTTGTGCATTGTAATTAAAATTTACCGTTGCATATAGTATGGCGGCTTGGCTGGAGGTTTAATTTCGTCGGTGTGTGAGTGTTTTGTGTGAAATGTGTAAACGCCGCATATTTTATAAAGTCATTGATAGGCTATCGGCCACGCTCTTGAGTGCCAGATACGAGAAATAGGGTTTCTCCCCCAATTTTTGAGCGAAACAATCCAATCTATAAAAATACATCAGCCTTGACAGCGATCCAAACATATGTATCTGTGTACTTAGTACATACTTGTAGTATTACATTAGCATGCCATGCATTAACAGGCATTCCATTTTAATCATTGAACTGCCCACACTTGTCATCCCAAAACATTTACAAAAAAATTTAAGCAGCACCAAAAGGTAGATATATTTTGAATATAAACGACATCTTAACATTCCATTCCTTTCACAGCAACCCCAGCATGGCCTTCTCTGGACACATTAATGCAACTGGCCAGTTCGAACAAGATGAGGTCTACAGTGGGCGCACGCGCATCAATCGTCGTGATGGCGACGATCAGCTGGCTTTGCCAATTGAGGAACATAATTCCGAAGATTCGTCGTCGCCCCCACCAGCGACGATGGACCCCAGCGCACGTACTTTTGTCATACGTGCATGTGATTATATAGCCAGCCGGAGTCTGGCTACTGTACGCTACAATGGACGTTCTGCATCCAATAGTGAGGACTCATCGCCTGCCTTGAGTCAGGATCAAAGCCAGAGCCGCTCCAGCGGGGATGAGAGCAACACCTCAAGTCCGCATTTCTGGAACAATTCAAACTACAGCTGGACCGACATGTATGGTGAGCTCAAGAAGTCTGAGAGTCAAAGCAATATAGTGCCCTCGTTGGATCTGGGCAGCGATCGTACCACAATCAGCTATTTGCCTGACGGGGCCGAAGTAAAGGTGACTCGCGAGCCGGAGGCCGCCTATGAGAACTGGTACTCGGCCAAACAGAAGTTGCGCCAGCAACAGCTCCAACGCGAGAAGGCCGAGCGAGAGCTCAAACAACAAAAGGCCGAGGAGCGCAAGCGTCGGGCTGAAGAGAGCTATCAACGCTGGCGCCGTGAAAAGGCCCAAGTCCAACAGCAGAATAGAGGATCGCCAAAGCCATCGCTGGAGATCGCCAACATACCTAAAAATGCGCGCAATGTCTCCCCAGACAAGGTCAAATATGTTGTTGACAATTGGTTTATGAGAAAGGAGCAGGAACTGGAGCATCGGCGTGAACTGAAGCGCCGGCAAGAGCAGCTTGAAGCCGAGCAACGCGAGCGTCGGAAGCATCTGGCCGAAATGGCCTGGGAGAAATGGATGAGCACGGTATATGGGAAGCCGAAGCCGGTGCCATTATGTCAGGGCATGGACTCGCTGCGTGGCACGATCTCGGCGCTCTATATTAATCCAGAATCATGGGTAGCGCCAACTGACATCGTGGAGCAGTAGCTTGAGGAGAACAAACCGATATTTACTAATGATATCAAACGGAAGGCTTTCAAAGACTTATTCCTGCGTTTTTAATGTACTTATTAGAATGATAATCATAGCAAAAAGAAATAAACAACTGTATGTGGGCATAACAAAACAGTGTGTGGAAACTAATTGTACTCTGTACATGTAATGTTCAAGAATATATTAGGTTTGCGGGAACTGAAAAATGTAACAGACAGAAGGAGGGATGGCAGACCCACAAAGTATATATATTCTTGTGTTTTATTTATTTATTTTTTCTATTTTTTTTACTTGTTTTCCTTAGTTTTGATCTCATCAGTCCACTAACCAATTTCTGTGCAATTTATAATCAGTTTAAAGATGATATCGTCTTTATAAAGATGAACTTGCAAAGACGAGTTCTGATACCAAGTTTGGTTATTCTAGCTATTTTATTCTCTGATAACATTATCTATACATATGTGTTCCATTCCATTCAATTATTTATAAACAAATAAAAAAATAACAATACTTCTTGCTTTTCAAAAGCATATCTACTTTCATTTACGTAAAAAAAATTGCAGGAACCCCGGATGTAACTACGAAGTTATACTTGTATATTAAGATTTCTATGACCATTGACGCACAAACAAAAACTCAAATGTAAAAACGAATTCATTGACATGAGCAGTCGGAATTGTTAGAACAGGTAAGTAATATGTAAATTATTTGCAATGGTTATTCTCATGAAAAGCTGACAAGTTTCTGCAAATTCTAACCAGCTGCTACACAGAGATAAAAAGCTCCAATTTCGCACTCCAACATATAATATTTAAAAGGGAACTTTTCAAAGAAAGAATTTGTATTTAAAAAAAAAAGTGTTTAAGGTATGTTTTTAGAAAACAATATCGCAGATTTTCAACTGTTGCTAAAAACCAATTTTTAAAGAAATGGAAAAGCTAAAGTCAAGAACTAAAAATATTTACAAAATTAAAAAAAAATAAAGAAAATGTTTATCTATTTTACATCCAAATTTTGTGCGTATGATATAAGGCACCTGGAACTAAAATTTTGTGTCTCTAGCTCTTATTCAGAGATAATGGTGATTATTAAAATGACGTTACGGAAAATACACTAGAGGGGTGGAGTATAGCGTATAAACAATTTATGTCCATATCTTTTATAGTCTCTGAGATCCAGATCGACTCGTCTTGTCATGCTGAATATACATATTTATTCAAATTCTTCCGCCTGTTACATTTTTCACCTATTGTACATTTTATGTACAGTTATCCTGATCGATCCTGTGACAGCTATGCTATGTCACATACATTTGGCACACAGGCTTTCTAGTAGACCCTTTTAATGTTCGAGGTAGAGGGTATAAAAAGCAAAACGTCTAGCATAATTGATGCCTCTTTAGATCATACTTTTTATATAATTTGTTGAATTGTTATTTCTTTATTAATTCCGATTAAATCTGATTTATGAAACGCGTTTTCTCTAACAGTGTAGTATATATTTTTGTATCGTTATATTGTGGTTGCTAGTTAAGTTTGCTTGTTTTTGCTGGTATTGTTCAGTTCATGTACGGAAACACTATCATCTGGCAATTCAGAAGTCAATTTATACAATTGCGTCAACAGACTTTAACCAATTTCGTAAGCCAATACGATAAAAATCTATGAGCAAGCGGATGGGTTACCAAAATAGACAATAGGAAGAAAAAAGAAACAAAAACAAAACACACATATGCATATATATACAAGACAGTTTTCAATAAACACAAAGACAAGTCAACAGTAAAGTCGGCAAGTCGGCAACAATTTGCTACATGACAGGACGCACAGGACACTCAATAAGATTTTATTGTAACGAGCAGGCGAACTGCAGGGGGATGTGTGAAAAATTGGTTGCACTCGCATGTATGTCGATTTTCATTAGATGCTCTGACACAACTCCTGTTGCTACCTCTCCTGTCTAGCTTCTCCCCTCGCCTCCCGCATGCGTAAAGCCTTAAAAATGTATTGTCGAAAACTAAAATAAAGCATGTTTTTAGGCCCAGAACACACATCCTAACCAAACGTACACACAAAACAGTTGAAGCGCATGGCCAAAGCAAAACCAAAATGCAAACAAACTCGGGCAAAAGCCTAAAGTTCATTTGCACAATTTCTCGGCTGTAATGACCAACCAACTAACCAGCCACCCACCAACCAACTACCTGCCCCTTATCCTCAACTAGTAAGCCATTGGCAAAGTCAAAGGCCAGCTAAGGCTGGGCAAACAAAAAGACCAAAAAGACGTTGGCAATCCTTTTGATGAGGTCAACGTTAGGCGAGCATTTGGTTTGGTGTACTTTGGTTTTCGGCACACATATATGCACACACACACACACACACACACATACACACACACACACACACACGCAGGCACGCCCTGTAGTTCGATGGACTTGTATTAAATTTTGTATTTCACCAATACTCTATTTTAAAACTATTCATATTTGTCAATACCAAACACTTATTTATGTTCAGTGTGGGCTATATGTTTTATAATAAATATTTTTATCTTTAAGCTCATTGCGGTTTTCCTCATTTCTTGATAAATTAAGGTGAAATGAACTTAGGGGAGAAGGTTCTGCGATTTCGGGTTTCCGATTTGAAGATCAACGTCTTTCCTAAATGGGCACCTGGAAAGCCAAACAATTATATCGTACAGTATCGTATAGAAATCATTAGAAACTGTCTTTTTATAATGATAATGCTTGCATTTTCAAAAATTCTGCTATTACGTTTCATCAATTTCTTAAGTTTCGAAAACTAAATCTTAAAATCCAAACAATCTTGTTTACAGCAATTAAAGAAATACTTTAAGTGACGATCGAGGGATTTATTTCGTAAAATTAAATTTCAATATGTAGAAAAGGTAAATATAATTACAATTTTGGGCTATTTTTGTTCAAATTTTTAATCCACTTTTGCAAACATCTTTATAGAAGAAAGTTGATAATTTGCGTATATTATATTTGAAAAGTTTTTTTTAAAACATTATCCCTTTTCGCATTACGGTTTTACTCTCTTAGATATATTAGGTTTGTGGAAATTGCTTATGTAACAGACAGGTCCGCCTGATCTGGCTATTGGTTTTTTTTTTTTGTTCCCCTTCTCATTTCGAAGAATTTCCACATTTCCAAAGCTACCAACACGTTTCGTTTGGTATTCTGCCACTCCTTTATTAATTTGATATCACCTTTATATATATTCAATACACTGGTCATCTACTTATTGATAGCATAACAGTTCTTAGGATCTACACTTTGTCCAGCCAACCCGCCAGTACCTGAGTAGTTAACCTTTGGTGGACAGAGGCCATCCGCAGAGCTGGCGGGAGTGTTTACTTATGTGCGTAGCCGTGAGGGAGTTTGTGTGTGTGTTTGCGAATGTCCATTGGCAGGATTAAATTTGGAAGGTATTGAAGCATGTTATTCGTCATCAATGTAGCTTGCACTAACTACTTAGTATGTGTGTGTTTGCGAGTGTGTGTGTGTGTGCGAACGCGTGTGTGCTGTGTATGTGTGTAAGCATGTGGTTATATCTAGATACTGTTGTTGCTCCTATATTGTATCAACTGCAACTCAACTTGGGTCGATGCTGTTGTTGTTTGCATTGTTTACGCACTTTCGCTTTGATATTATTGTAGTGTGCATTTCGGCTGGTGGCTTGATGGACTGACCGGCTCACACATACTCGTACACATGCCTAGTGTTTGTGAGTGCTTGCGCTTGAAATATATGTATATGCTTTAGATAGTTGTTTGTTCTACTTCATATGAACACTTCAATCAGTATATCAGGAAGCGATAAACAGTGCCGATTTTGATTCCGTCCATCTGGATTCAATTCCTCTTACGTTGTTAGCAAATTGTATTTCAAATTTTAACAAACATTGTAATTATGCCTTAAGTACAGCTTGGATTCTAAATTCTAAAGATAGCACTGAGGCCAATAGAGAACTCCACTGCTATCCTTTGCTTGTTATAGAGAGGATAATAATGTGGATGAAAAATTAACATTTGATGCAAGGAGCGATCTAATTTGAATACCATATAAACAAATGAAAAAACAACAAATTTATATTAGCGTCCTGTTGTTTTTTCTTTTTTTCAATATATACAATACATATTTTATTATTTTTCAGCTGCTTCCTAGCAATTTAATTTAGCTTTATAGTCCTTTTGTTACTGATAACTACTATTTTCTAGATGTAGCTGCTAGCTAATGTCTAATTTCTGAATCTAAGATCCATCCCTAATATTTTATACCATAATGATGGAATAATTCAGATACAGCTAGAAGAAAATCTTATAGAAGAAGTCTTCCAGTTACGAAATGGCTTATTTCCTCTACAACTATCTTTTATATTTTCTTAAAAATGGACATGCATATTAAATGAAAAAAGTTTTATAATGTTGAATGACTAAGGTCATTTGCAACTAATAAAGTAAATTATAATTATCATTTACATTTTATGTTGGAAATATTGCTACTTTTCATAAAAAATACGGAATCGCATATAGTATTCGATGCAGCTTGAGGCTTAAATTAGATACAAATTTCAGTTTCGCAGATCCGTATTAATGAGATAATTAATGAAATACATAATTTAATTAAAACTTCAATTGGTTCTATGCCTATATTTTATGCCTTCTAAACAAATCCAGATTAGTGACAATTCAAAGCTTTCAGGAGCATACAATTCTTTCAGGCAATAGACCAATTTTTCGTATATTATTTATACTAGAATGATATTTATATAGCAGATTGGAACCGATTTGTGGTCATAAAATCTACTCATCGTTTGCCAATTTTTACCCTGTATCCATAGGGTAAACAGGTATACTTGTTTAGTAACACATAGAAGGAGGTCTGTATGAATGTAAGGATCTCAAAAAGTATAAGACCTAAAAAAACCAAAATTGGTGTCTCAAGTCCGAAACTACACGCTTGTAACTTTTTACCATTTTACAGTTCTGATTAAAGCCTTTTAAAATTTCTTAATTGCTTATTCAAATTCGTAAAAATATTCTACACATACTTGTACATAGTACAGAACAATGCCTAGTCGGGGTGCACCAAGTTTAGCATTTTCAGTTGTTTTCACATTATTTAATAAAATAATTTTTTTGTGGAAGTAGGGAAAGGGTGGTTAAGAGGTGGGACCTCCCGCGAC